AAAGTGGCAAGTGTACTGATGCAGGGGAACCAATTAGAAAGCAGTGGGTGTAGTCTAGACAAGGATATTTGAGGGCCGAATTATAAGTATCGGGCATAAGAGGCCTTGGTATTTTCTAAGATGGGGCCTGTTTGTGAATGTTTCTGGGGAAATGGGCTGCCTGAGAGCAGAGCCATCTTATTTCCTATTTCTCTAAGTAAAATGCTACCCAAGTCCTTTTTTACTCTTACTGGAGCCAATTTTGAACTAAGTTTATAAGATATGTCTGTATTGTGCCTGGGCTTAGAATGGGAAAATACAGAAGCAAAGAATTAAACAGCTGGGGCGGGGGAAGGGGGAGGACATAACCCTTAGATTTACACGCTTATTTTTTAACATAAAATGCACTATGGGATATGGATTTGCATAATGCAGGCAGATGAAATTAAAAGGTAGAATAAGAGAGGAGAGGAATTTGTAAATGGTAATTATCTCTTATATTACTATTCCTTGGAGAAGAATGAAGGCTCTGCAGTTCCAGGAGACCCATGCTATTAGCTTTTCCCTATGAATGATATCAGCTGGGACTGTACCTTCTTTCCAGAAAACTAAGCCCTTGCATGTGTGCCAGTCCTTGAAAGAGATTGGGGCCCCAGGTTCTTACTACCAGCACTGAGTAAGGAAAGGACTTGACCAAGATCACTGTGCCATTCAGGGACAGGAATACCAACGAGGCCTTCTATTGTCTAGATATGGAGTAGAAACAGAGGAGCATAGGGAAACATATATATTTTTTTTTAATAGTCTAGTTTTCAGCAAAGTCAAATATGTGCTGTCAAGAGGACAATGGCCTTTTGAGCTTTTTGCTGCAAAAGCTTCATTTATAAAGGCCCAAGTCAGAGCTGTTTGTCATTGAGGAGCAATGACAACCTGACTGTCTGGTCAGGACTCAGTAGTCTGTAGGTGCATTTTTTATTCCTTTAAATTACAGCCTCTCTCTGAGGCAATTAATCCTGGACATTTAGCAAAAGAGTTGCTGCTGTGTCTCTCTCTCTCGTTCTGGAAACGCGTCTTCTTGTATTCAGCACTTGTCTGGGATGCTTGATTGTTTGAAGGGTGTTTTTCTTCTGGTAAAATCTTTCATAAGAAAATATTTTTCCCCCTCCTTCCCAAATACCCCTCTGAGAGTTAATCAGAGATACAGAGTTCAACGACTGGAAGAGCCATTAATAACCCAGCCAGCTTCTATCCTGCTGACTTAAAGGCAGCTTCTGGCGGTTGAAATTGATGAGGATTTCTCTGGTGCTTCCCTGAAAAGTATTCCTCCCATATTGGAGGAGCAACACTGGCATATTTGCGTACTCTGTTCTTCACACTTGGTTTTAAGGCTCCACCCATGGAAAGGGCTTTGTCTGTATTATGTTAGACCCCAGTATTTAGCACCCTTCAGTATTTCTTAGGTAAACTGCCTCTCTGGGTCTGCCTTTCTCCCACTGTTCATCTGGCAAACATCTTCCAATCTGCTCGTATTCTGTCTCTACCTGACTAATTTTGCCTCCTTCCATCTCATGAAGCCTTGCTTTTTCTCGACCTTGGATCAGTACTGAAATGAGTGGCAGATTCTATGTAGTTTTCTGAATACATCGTTATTTTAAATACTTTTGATTTCTTTGCTCTTTTCTTGAAACTCTTACCATTATCCTTCTCCCCTTGCTTCAGTTCTCCCCCCACATTTTATGCATTGGAATTTGTTTCCCCATCTCAACTCTTTATCATGGAATCTTCCTTTTTTTCCAGACTGTGAAATCTAGAGAGTCATTATTACTCTTTCTACCCTTAGTTTATTTGTAGCTGTGCCTTTGGGTTGGGATTTTTGTGCGACAATACTAAAGCCAAGTTCTTTTCCCCCCACTTCTTGTCTATCTTGCCCTTTTGTTGTGTATTCTGGAAGGCAGCTATGCTCACCACTGTATCACCAATGCAATTTTGTTGTGTATACTGGCCTCTGCCGTTTAACCCGTTCCTGTTTTCAAGGTTTTTCCTGGTCAGTAAATGTTTGAGCTGTCTTTATTATAGGCTATTTTCTTCTAGAGGTCTTTGGGGTTTTTTCTACCACAAGAAGCATCTCATATTGTGTGTTTACCATGTTTCATGTTTTCGTAATCATTCTGGATCCTATTCTGTCCTTTTTCCTTCTTTGCTAGAGTTCTCAATGCTTTCAATTTGAAATCTTTTGTACACTTTATTGAGATGCCATTTAGATCCTGCTTCGCCATTCTTGGCTAAGATGTTAAATAAGCTGAGAACCAACACATACACCTCCACTCACTTAATATATTGCCTCTTTTTTGGTGCCCGATGTAACCTTCAGTGTGAGTCTTTGCTTATATCTGAACCAGCTGATATCATTCTTATTTCCCTTTATATATTCTCTAGTAATCTCTAAACACTGTGCAGCTGTTACCTCTGGCTATATTTTGTGCACCCCCCTCACTTTCAGTTTTTTTCTTGTTGTGGCAAAATACATGTAACGTAAACTTTACCATCTTAACCCCTTTTTTAAAATGGAGGGAGCAACTGAATCAGAAAGAAGTTGATTGTTTTTAGGTTTTAATATTAATAACAACAAAAAGATGCTTGTGCTATTTATATGCTGTAGGAGTCCACATTTTTCTTAGCCCTAGTGTTTGTACATTTTTCTCTGTTGCCTTCTTGTGTCCTTTCTTTGAGCTCTGTGTCATCTTTGGGCACTGGCAACTGCTCAGTATTTTCCAGTGTACTGGCTTCTCCTTCCCTGTTCTTCAACCCTGCTAGCACCAGATAGAGTATTGTTCATGGTCCAGAAAGAGGTGAATCTTTGGACCTTGTAGGAAGAAATTGCCAGTTCTGCAGTGTGATTTTGGGAAGGCCAGCTCTCTCTCACAGCTGTAGAATAAAGTGATTGGATTTGCCCCATAAGGCTTCTTTCTAGCTTAGTTTTTTATTTTTATTTTTTTCTTAAGAGACAAGTTTAGCTCTTCTCATGATACTTAGTTATACTTTTAGTGCCCATTGGTAAGTAAAATATGCAATAATGAAAAGCTATCATGAATTCACTTGTACTTTTTTTTTTTTTTTTTGAGACAGAGTCTCACTGTGTTGCCCGGGCTAGAGTGCCGTGGCGTCATCCTAGCTCACAGCAACCTCAAACTCCTGGGCTCAAGCGATCCTCCTGCCTCAGCCTCCCGAGTAGCTGGGACTACAGGCATGCGCCACCATGCCCGGCTAATTTTTTCTCTGTATTTTTAGTTGTCCGATTAATTTCTTTCTGTTTTTAGTAGAGACGGGGTCTCGCTCTTGCTCAGGCTGATTTCGAACTCCTGAGCTCAAACAATCCACCCGCCTCGGCCTCCCAGAGTGCTAGGATTACAGGCGTGAGCCACCGTGCCTGGCCCACTTGTACTTTTAAATGAATTAGTAGTACTTTAACTGTTTGCAATTGGAATCTTCATATATTTGAAAAATAATAATATGCTTAATTTGGGAGCTATCTTATTTGTTTGATATTCAGCTACTCCTTTGTATGTATGTGTAATAATTTTGGGGTCCCCAGTAACTGCAATCTGATCTCAGTATTCTTTTCAATCCCCCATTTAATCTTATCTCTCTCTTCTCACCCCTCCTTTCATCTACAGAGTTTCAAGTCAAAGGAATATGCTATGTTACAGAAAACAATAATGTACTTTCTCTTTTGGGAAAAGAAAAACCAAGTAGTGACTTTTAATGGATCAGCTTCCAATATCCCTGGTATTGATTAGTCTCTTAATGCTCAACAGCCAATTCTACCAAAATATAAAAGCCATCATAGGCTTTTGTTTTGGACTAGTGAAGCTCCCGATGGTCCACTTAATAAGCTGAAGTGTTGCCTTAACTTTGGTTCCAGAGCCAGTTTGAAGATTATCTCTTTGATGTGGAGATAATCCAAAAGGGAGAATTCAAAAAATGTCCCAAATCAAGCTGTCAGAGGTTCATTTATTTTGTGGGGTTGGTTAAGCAGCTAATTAACTGCTCTGTCCAGCCAGTGCCCTTTGGCCTGCTGTTCCTTTGATACATTGGAAACTAAACCACGTGAAGTTCCTTTCTTCTCTTTTCTCGTAGGAATCAGTGAAAGACAGTGGAAAGATCTAGGGCTTCACAGTCACATCTTCCTTGAAACCTGCCTCAGCTGCTTACTAGTTGCGTGACCTTGGATATTTGCCTCTCTGGTCTTTAGTTTTCTTATCTATAAAACAGAACTAATAATACTTCATGGGATATCTAAAAGGATTAAATGGGGTTATTATTAAACATAATAACCTTTGTATTAGAACTTTGTAGATACTTAATAAATGGTGGTTACTACTATTGCTTTGAAAGTCCATAAAGATAATACCTAGACTTCTATCTTTTTACTCAAATGATCTGGCTTTGGATGGCATTTTCTAATATTCTTCACCATTGTCAATTTTTTAGTCTCTAAAAGAAGGGACTGTCTTTTTCTTTTGTGTGTTTTTTTTCTTTCACTTATCACTGATTTTTTTTTTTCACACGGAAGACCTAAACAGATTTCATTTGAAGATAAGCATTTGCCAAATGAAATGGATGGGGGAATTTTTCTTCCTTTAAGACCCTCAAAGCCACATTTTTCTTGCATCTGACAATATAGAAAAAGAAGTTTATATATATCCATTCCAGATCCCAGGATCTAAACTTGGCTTCCATTTCAGATGCTTCAGGGTTCAGAAACCACATTAACTCAAGAAAAATCCTCCTTCTCCTTCATAAACTGTTGGTAAATGCTCATAAATCTTTTAGTTGAGGTACTCCAGAAATGTGTTTTATTAAAGTGCCATACAATTTCTGAGCAACTCCAGATGACTCATTTCTATGGGGGGGTCCTCTCTTAAGTATAGGAATTTAGTTTTGGGGATGCTTGTTTTTTGGGCTAGGGGGTAATTCTGCCTTAGTGACTCTCTTATGTGTAGTCCTTTTGTTTTCTCCAGGGACAATGGTGACAGATCCAGGCACCGAGCTCCACGCAATGCCCGGATGTCTGCACCTTCACTTGGACGCTTTGTCCCAAGGTAAGAACTGGGTTGTCAGCAACAGAGGGAGACTTTATTAGAGCCCAGGATTTCATTTTAAACTTATTTTCTGTTGGATTGTCCATATCTGAAATTATTTCCCAGTTAGCCTACAGTCCAGCCTGACCATGTAAAGACTTGACAGGTGATGATTAGCCACAATGAAAAGAGATAGACAAGTGGCATTGGGATTATCCTGTTCAAGAATAGAAGGCTTGGGGAACTTTATTTTATTTTTATTTATTTATTTTTTAGACGAGTTCTCACTGTGTCACCCAGGCTGGAGTTCAGTGACATGATTATAGCTCACTACAGCCTCAAACTCTTGGGCTCAAGTGATCCTTCTACCTCAGCCTCCAGAATAGCTGAGACTACAGGCATGTGCTACTGCACCCAGTTAATTTTTTAAAAAAATTTTTTGTAGAGACAGGGTCTTCCTGTGTTGCCTAGCATGGTCTCAAACTCCTGGGTTCAAGTGATCCTCCTGCCTTGGCCTCCCAGAGTGTTGGGATTATAGGCATGAGCCATCATGCCTGGCCAGGAACTTTACTTTAAAAGGAAGGGCAGGAAGGAGGTAAAAATCTGTGAAAGGACAAATCCTGGGAATTTTTACTCCTTTCTGGGCATCTGTATTCTTTAGGTTCAATGGATCTTATGGCCTAGATTTTTGAATGTAGGTAGTTAGTATTGTAGTATCTCTTTTGCTTTATGTAGTTTTTAATCAGCTTTTCATATGTGATTCCTTCTTGTAGGCGTTTTTTGCTGCCTGAGTACTTGCCTTATGCTGGGATTTTTCATGAACGTGGACAGCCTGGCTTGGCTACTCACTCTTCTGTAAACAGGGTCCTGGCAGGTAAGGAAATGTGTCTTTGGATTTTGAAAATGCGAAGAGGCAGGGAGCCACATAAAGCTTCTCTCTCTACTTGTGCTGATATGATGGTGTCTTGGCATCTGGCTGAAAACTCTGTTTTGGGGTCCTGTAGTTAGTTCCTTACTTCAAAGCAGGAAATGCAAGGTTGAGGAAAACTTTCTCCTGTCCTTTCTACTTCTTTCAGACCATTTTAAAAATTATTCGTTTAAACCATTTGTCTCTTAATCCAGCAATTAAATTCTGGCTATGCTTTTAATTGAATGATAAAGATGTCTTGTTGATGTTTTGGTTGGTGAGACACTCATGAGCCAGATCCTGTGATTTAATTAGGAGCTTAATGCACACCTCTCCAACCCTTTGCTGCTGCCAGCACATGGAGTTTCCAGGCACTGTGGAATCTTCTGAGGAAGGAGGAGGGGGAGAAAACAGTGGAGGTGGCACAGAAATCTCCTAGAACAGAAAATGGGCTGGGCAAGCCCTATCGAGGCAGTTTTATAATGGTTGGAGAGCTTAGTGACCATTGTTTTTGGGCTTTGAGGCATGATGTTTGCTGTTGTTTCTGGTCAGTGTCTAGAGAAAGAAACAAACCAGAATTCCCTTTTTTTTGTCACAAAAGTTGTTTCCCTATCTCACTTTCTCCCCTCTCCTCCAACCTCCACTGCCACATTGCAGATTTATATGTGCAAAGGCATAAAAGGTATAAAAATCAAGCCACATTTAGAGGTATCTTTAATAAGCATCTTTATTAAAAATTTTTAAATGAGATCTGTTTCGGAAAATCTGGACCATATGGTGGTTAAAGGTAGGGAGGGGTCTGCTGAGGCAGTGGCACTGTCAGGCTGTGGGAACCTGACAGGCTTTATTTTATGATCTGTAACTGAGCTACTGTGACAGCATCAAGACCATGGGAACTGGCCTTCCCTAAGTAGTGTGTTTGACCCAACAATAAGGCCCAGAGATCCCAGAAACATCAGTAGTTTCTCTGCTATATAGCAGGACTTCCTGGCGGGGGACCAGACTATACCATTGTCTCCTGACAGACTCATCTGAGGAGGGCTCTGGCCCTAGTTGTAAAACAGACCCTATGGTCCCGTGCTTCTCCTTGCCCAACACTTCCATGTGGTTTGACCGAAGGCATGTGGAAGCTCTTCACTGACAGATAATGACTTGCTGCCAGGCAATACTACAGAGTTCTTCTCCACCCTTCTTTGTTCCAGACATCTGCCTCCACCACCCCACACGGCACCTCCTGCTCCTCTACTGCTGGCAAATCTCTGTTTCCTTGGCATTTAGCTTTTTTGGAACAGCTGTATGTTGTTTTTTTCCTTCTTGCCTCCAATAACTCCTTACCTCCATTTCCTATTCCCTACTTCATGCACAGTGGTCTGACCCCAAATGGCCTAATTTCACTTATGAATACCTTTGAATATAGGGGCTGTGTTCCAGCAGGCAGCTGTTTACAGATGGGGAAATCTACTGAGAAAATCTCTCTAGCAAAGGATGCAAAATGCCACTAGGAGAAGGAAATCTAGACTCCCTAGACCTCACTCTTAGGTTAGATTAGCAGATGGTTTCCATTTATAATTAGACTAGTTTGTTCCATTTTTTCAAGGTTCATGTTATAGAATGTCTATTGGTCTTTTCTTAGAAGTCCCGTAGTTGGTATTTTTTGGCAGTTGTATCAGTTGTTTTCTTCTCTTAAGAAAGTTCCAATAATAATAATAGCAACAAAAAAACCTAACATTTATTGAGCACTTGCTATATGCTAGGAAGTGTTTCATTAATAAGTGTTTCACACATACTTTATTTCTGCCTTACAGTAATGCTATGAGGTAGGTGCTATTACCTAATTAGCGGTGGAGGAACCTGGAGCCCCCAGGGCTAACTGTCCAGAATGATGCAGCTAGGAAGGAGAGGAGCCAGAGCTGAGCCCAGGTGGTGGATTCCAGAGCTTGCACTCGACACCACCTTCTTAGTCTGCCTCCCCACAGTCGTTTTAAAGGACAAAGCATCAAAATATCATTCTTTTTCCAGGACCTTAATCTATAGGAGGAAAAGAGCTCCCAGGGAACTTTGCTGACCATCAGCATTTTTGTTATTTGTTTTAATTCCTCTGTTTTATATGGTTAGTGGACATAGCTTTTTATGACCCAGTGGTGCTTGTTGAGGAAAATCTTCTTATATAATAGCCTTTTCCCTGAGCCTCCTTGCCCTGCTGGATACAGATGTTTTGCTTTTTATTAAACTTACTTGTGATCATGTAATTGAGCTGCTATAATAATAGCTTTCAGAGTGAAAGAGAAATTGGCTTTTTAGCAGTAAGCACTCCCAATTTTCCTGGAAAGACACTTTGTTTTGTATGATTGGAATGAGGTTGTAATGGTCCCAGAACAATTACATTCAGCAGATATTTGTTCGGCAGCTCTTATCTGCCAGGCACTGTCCTAGGCTACCAGAGTGAATAAAACAGGCATGATCCCTGTCTTCCTGTAGCTCAGAGTCTAGGTTGGTTGGCTATATCTCAGTCTTGCCATTCAGTTCTTGGCTCCAAACATAAGTGGAACCTTTGTATGGTGAGTCGCTTTTTGCAGGGTTGAAACTTGGAAATTTGTCAACCCTGGAGGGAAGAAGCAGACACATACCTGCAGTTTTAGGAGGTGTGACCAGTACTGTGGTGGCAAATAAATCTCCAGTAGACCCTACCTAATGCCATTCAGAATCACAACAAAAATGGATATGTAGAAAATCAAGATCTATTCTGTTTACTTCCTCCCACAAGAACCTTAGAGAGCAATAATAGGAAACAGAAGCTACTACAGAGAAATGTTTGTTTTTTTAGTTTTTTTTTTGAGACAGAGTCTCACTCTGTTGCCCTGGCTAGAGTGAGTGCCGTGGCGTTAGCCTAGCTCACAGCAACCTCAGACTCCTGGGCTCAGGTTATCCTTCTGCCTCAGCTTCCCGAGTAGCTGGGATTACAGGCATGCGCCACCATGCCCGGCTAATTTTTTCTATATATTTTTAGTTGTCCAATTAATTTGTTTCTATTTTTAGTAGAGATGGAGTCTCGCTCTTGCTCAGGCTGATCTCGAACTCCTGAGCTCAAACAATCCGCCGGCCTCGGCCTCCCAGAGTGCTGGGATTACAGGCGTGAGCTACCGCGCCCGGCCCAGAAAAATGTTTTGATAGTCTGTTAATCTTCATGTCTTCTCCCTTATCTTGGTGCTGTCCACACAATTCTGTAGATTCCTGGTGGCCTTCAATCACTCATCAACCCAGGGCATGAACCATCTTCAGCAACACAAATCCTAGATTCATACCGAAAAAGATATAAATACATTTAAAGCTACGGCAACTGTACCACGTATATTTTTGGAGAAATACACAAAAGTCTGGGGAGCTCCCCCTGCTGACATTTTAGCAGACAACTCTAGCTCTGTGTAGTAACAGCAACTGAAATGAAGCTAATGACTGCCTACTATGGGCCTGGTTCTGTCCTAAGTGCTTTCTCATACATTTATCTCCTTTAATCATTGTGACAACCCTGTGAGATAGGTGTTAGCATTTCGATTCCGCCGGGAAGAGAACTGAGGCTCAGAGAAGTTATATCACTTGCCTAGTCACTGTGAAAAGCTGACCTGGAACTTTAAACAAGATCTGCCTAACTCATAAGACCTCTGTTCTATCTTCTGTGCCATGTTTTGCTTGAGTTTAAGTAGTATCTGCTAAAAGGGTCTTAAGCTTATAGTATTTTTCTGCATGTTTAAAGCCTCACAAAAGTGAAGTGAGAAGCCCTGGCATTTGACAGCCTCCTGGTAATTACTGGAAGAACAAAAAACTTCTGAGAGATAGGGACCGGGGTAATGTAGGGTATTAGTTATCTGTCCTGCATAATCTTTTTGACTTTCATCCTAATGAGCATCTGCTTCCAGCAGATGTGGGCCTGATGTACTTAATTTACTATTTTGATTAAAATCAATGGGAAGTGTCAGGATTTTCTTGCTCTTAGTCACAAGTCATTGGGGCCTGGTTGAGTGTCTTGGGCTAGAAATGGCTTTGTGCCCAGTTCTCCTAATTTTTCTTATGATTTCTTCTTTGACCTGTTAGTTGTTTAGGAGTGTGTTGTTCAATTTTCGTATGTTTGTGAATTTCCCAAATTTCCTTCTGTTGTTGATTTCTTATTGAGTTTCACAGTGGCCTAAGAACATACTTTGTATGATTTCAATTAATTTAAATTTATTGGAACTTGTTTTATAGTTTAGCATATGGGCTATCCCAGAGAATGTTATATGTGTGTATGAGAAGAATGTCTATTCTGTTGTTGGGTAGAGTGTTTTGTAGGTGCCAGTTAGGTCTACTTGGTTGACGGTGTTGTTCAAGTTTTATATATCCTTGCTGATTTTCTGTCTTGTTGTTCAATCTATCACTGAGAGTAGGGTATTGAAATCTCCAGCTATTGTTGCTGAATTCTGTATTTCTCCCTTCAGTTTTTTTTTCCCCCCATAAGACAGTGTCTCACTCTGTTGCCCCAGCTAGAGTGCAGTAGCGTCATTGTAGCTCACTGCAACCTCAAACTCCTAGGCTCAAGAGATCCTCCTGCCTCAGCCTCCCGAGTAGCTGGGACTACAGGCCTGAGCCACCACACCTGGCAAATTTTTTCTATTTTTTGAATAGATGGTGTCTCACTCTTGCTAAAGCTGGTCTCAAACTCCTGAGCTCAAGTGATCCTCCTGCCCTGGCCTCCCAGAGTGCTAGGATTATAGGTGTGAGCCACCACGCCCAGCCAGTTTTATTAATTCTTTTTTTTTTTTTTTTTGAGACAGAGTCTCACTGTGTTGCCCTGGGTAGAGTGCCGTGGCGTCATCCTGGCTCACTGCAACCTCAAACTCCTGGGCTCAAGCGATCCTTCTGCCTCAGCCTCCCGAGTAGCTGGGACTATAGGCATGCGCCACCACGCCCGGCTAATTTTTTCTATATATTTTTAG